TACCTATGAATCTGCTGTTGCTTTGCATATGGCCTAGGACTGACCAAACATCTCTCTACATGGTTTTTAAACGTGGCTTCCGTTTGGAAAGAACCAGGTGGAGAGAAGGGGGTTGGGGTGTGTGTTCAGTTTTTCATTTTGTAATCTCAAGGGCTAAACTTCTTGATGAAAGCTTAAAATGTAGAAATGGCCTAGTTTAGGTCCTATGAATCTGCTGTTGCTTTGCATATGGCCTAGGACTGACCAAACATCTCTCTACATGGTTTTTAAACGTGGCTTCCGTTTGGAAAGAACCAGGTGGAGAGAAGGGGGTTGGGGTGTGTGTTCAGTTTTTCATTTTGTAATCTCAAGGGCTAAACTTCTTGATGAAAGCTTAAAATGTAGAAATGGCCTAGTTTAGGTCTCCATGGTTTTAGAGACCAGCTTTCCAGGAGCCTCAAGCTTTTTTCTTCAAGCATCGAAATGCCATGACTCTTTCAAGAACAGCTTGACTAGTTTTAAATACTGAGTCTTACAGAGTCAAACTTTGGTACTGGAAACTTATATGGAATTTCTTGCTGTAATCTTTTATTGTGGTACTAACATCAGTTGTCCAACTACTTCTTTACAGAAAGAATGGAGAGAAGACAGAAATGGAGAATTCAAAAGGAAAGTTGCCCGCTGTGTAAGAAAAAGCCAAGAGACTGCTTTTGAGTGATACTTATTCAGCAGCTAGTAGCTTCACTTTTTTCAGGGTAAGTAGTGATATCTTAAAGGAGTCACCTTCACCTCCATTAGTTTATAGTTTGCCCTGCAAGTCATCAACAGTACAAACCCTTATTCAGGCATAAATACCTTTCCCCTCTCTCGAGGCTTTGCTTTTTCTCTCCTAGTTTCAGCACTGCCAAAGACTACAAGGCTTTGGAGACACTAAATGTGTATGGGTTTTTCCCCTTCATGCATTACTCCACTAAGTTTTTTGCCTGGGTTGGTAATGTTCATGCTAGTTTTATTAGCTTTGTGATAATTAGGGTCCCAGGAGAGCCATCTAAGTCACTCAATTAGAGTGCACTGAAAAAATGTAATAGCCAATCCCAAAGCTGGTGGCTATTTACCAAGCCAGAACAAAACTGTTTCTATATTATTTTGGTTAAAAGTCCAAACAGTGCCCAGTACCGAGCCTCAGGCTTCCACCTAGACACCCAGGTTAGAAAGTTCTATCAGTCCCAAAGGATTGGACACACTACCTTCCAGGTTAAGAAAATATTTTAGACCTTGTTCCAAGCTCTCACTTGTAACCAGTACTTGTAAGTGAACTAAAGACTGTTGGTTAAAAGGTCAATATAAATAAAGACACAAGTTGAATTCTTGAGATTGAGATCTATAATAGAGACGATCTTTTAGTTGCAGAGAAATTTTTTCAGATCAGTCAACTTATAATAATGGGCCATGACTTAAGGATACCATGATCACTTGATCTCATCCTTCATGGCTTGCAACTTTCCTGGAGAGCATCCAATCAGATATGAGATGACAGAGGATCCTATCTAAAGGAGCATTATGCTTTTGCAGCAGTCTCTTGGCCTGGGAGAACATGAGGCTTTTGTTATAACCTTCTGTCTCCGAAACATTGTGGCAGTTAGCACAAGGTAACTGATCCATTAAACGATTTATGTACAGTTCTCCGTAACCTTAAAAGACACCAAAACAAAGTTTTAGACCAGGATTACTGTCCTCACAAGACCTGGGCCAACACCTACTGACCTAACAATGCAAGTTTGCATTGTTAAAGTTCTACTGGAATCTAATTCAACAGCCCGACTGTCACTTACACATCTTCCCAACAAGTTTTCAAAGGTTAATCCTGGGTCAGTCAGCCTATGAGCTGGCTAACCCTTTCTGGCCATGTGTCACGTTAATCCAGACTATCTTAATATGCATCCCCCCCCCAAGTCTGAGATTTGGTTTGGCTGTATTTTATACCAGTTCTCAGCAGTGGCTACAAATACATATTCCATTGCCCATACTAGTAGTAATACTACATGGTGCTTAACTACAGTAGCTCCTCAAGGAAAAGGAGTCGACTTGACAAACTGGTAGTCAGCAGTAATTCAGAGTGGGAGTTGAACTATTACATGTTTTAATTCTCTGGACTAAATATCCACTCTTATTACCAACAACCACAGGTTCTAGACTGAAACACCATCTTTTCACAGAGAATGTTTGGGTGTTTTGACCTTGTTTTTTTTTCCGTAGCTTGAAACAGAGAATTGAAATGCTAGTCTCTCTTCTGCAGAGAAGAGAGGCTGGGCTACTAAGCACAAAACCATTTTCTTTCTGTAACTGTCATGAGATCAGAAGTCTCAGGATGGAGAGGTGGTTAGACATTTGCCCTTAAGCAAGCTACTTAACATCCCCTTGCTCATGCAGAGAGCTAGGATTTAAAATGCAAACTCTTGCCAGATCTGATGTTGGACAAATTGTGTTGGAATGATCCTATGTATATAACAAGTTTTAGTGTTCTTGTCTCTTCACTGTTGTTGAATTATATCTGTGCCTGAAAAGGGATTTAGCCCTTTTTAACTTGCCAAGGAGTAACTTCTGTATTCAATTAAATTAGCTTTTAGAGTTTAGCAGTCTTGTGATAAATGGCTAGTTTGGCACAAATATTCCCTGTAGCCATTAAGCCACATCTTATCCACCACATAAAACTGGCATTCCTTGCATTTTAGTATCCTGAACCTAATTGTAGCAAAATTGTGCTGCTGAATGACCTCACTGTGGGAAGGGATTGATTGTCTTAACACTTAACTCTCAGCGAAGCTTTCACAACGTGGAACAATGTGTGCTAGTTGCACTTCTTGTTTCTTGACCCCACCACTTCTAACATGAAACTTCTAGAGAAGACTTGCTGTACTCAGGCTGCATAATTACTCAAACAGCAATCCCACTTGATACTGGTTCTGACCACAGCAAACAGCCAGGCATAATTGACTTGAAACTGAAAGGGCATGCTTGAGAGAAGTGGACTGTTCTTTAAATCTTGAAGATATATGGGAAATGTGTGAGTAACTTAGACCTGTAATTCCCTTTGATATTTCTCCCTTTGGAGGAAAGGTGAACAGAGCTAGAAACTGTTTGTAGAATAGCAATGGGTATAGCAAATAAGGCAGTGTGTTGTATCCAGTGGACAATACTTTTTAAGCTATGTTGCCATACTGAATAAGTACAGTGGTGCGACTTACATTTGGCATGAACGATGCCCACGAGTAGAAGGAAGTAATGCTGATTACAGAGTAAGCTGGTCATCTTGTTTATGGAAGGCAAGTCCTCTTGAATTCCGTTTGGTGGCAGGGATGAAATCTAGCTTCACAAATAGACTTAAAGCATTACTGTTATAAAAGTGCGTGCTACTTTTATGCTGCTGTTCATACTCCTCTCCTGTAAAATACTACTAGTCAACTTCAGTCATTCAGAATCTTAAAATGTTTGCTTGCTTGCTATACAAATACTCAACTATGGACTCATCCTAGATGCATATGAGGAACCTATATATATGTATATGTGTGTGTGTATATAATGCACTCAAATGCTTACACTTGTACTAAAAATTTAACTGACAGAGGTTTAGAGCTCAAATGTATCTGTGTTGAAGCATTGCACTGATTAGATTCCTCTCCCTCAGATGACTGAGTGGTTAGTTCTAAACGCCAAGCAAGAAACACACAATTCAGGTAAACTGGTTTGAGCACAGACAACTGTAAATGACTCTTTTGGACTACAAGCACTGTTTCTCATCCAGGAGCAATTAAAAATTCATCTCTTTATCAATGTGCTAATGACTGTATTTTCTGTATTATTAGGTCTCCAATTGAGAAACATGGCACTGTTTTTTCCTGCACTCTACCCACCTATTGCTGGACTTCTGTTGTAACATGTTGGCAAAAACTGGCTGGAACTGGGCTGCAATAAACATGCCAGTTATCAATGCTGACAAGAGCCTAACAAGTGCCAACATAAGATGATTGCGCATTTTGAAATCTAATGAACTGCTTTAACCTTCAGGAAGAATTGTAAAGATGTGTACATAGCACAACATGATCCGGATAATATATATACTGTTCATGTACATCCACAAATACACAGTGTACCAAATAATGCTGTCTTGTAGTTAGGATAAAAATCGTGTACATTCTAAAAGATTTTAGCAAATTTTCTTTCCCTGTTCATTGTTTCTTATCAGTTTTTTAAAAAAACCTTTTGAAGCATGTCAAACTAAAACCAATTAGGATTAAAGATTTTTCCACTTTATTTTTCTTTGAACAATTGAGGCTTAATTAAAACTTTTCACTTGAAGTTTAGTATCTGTTTGGGGGGAAAAAATACTCCCAACCTTACCCTGTAATCTCCTCAAAGGTTCAGATTTTCCTAATCAAACATTGAAAGGATGGATCTATAAGCAACTATCTGATACTGATGACCTTTGACCATGCAAAGGTTCTCCCCCTTTCCGCTTTTTGACTCAGTTGCACACAGTTCTTGGATTGGGTGTAGCAATAAAACTTCTGGCTGTGGAGCACCCTTGAGCCTGCTATTTTTTCAAAGGGCTGAGAGCTTTGGTTTGGAAGTGCTCAGTTGACTAAGTTAGCTCAAGATATAAGCTGCTTTCTCTGGTTTTTGCCTCTTGTCTTTGTTTTTAAGTTTTTTGGATTTAAAAGGTATGCACATCTGTAAGCTTTCAAACTTCGTAAATTCTGGATTTGGTATCAGAAATACCGTTTCCCTTATCCCTATTCTCTCTTCTGTGGCCCTTCATATTTTTGCCTTCTATTCTTCTACTGCAGATTTTTCTCACCTAATGTACAAAGAGAATTGCGATGTATATTTTCATGTAATTTGATTTTGGAATTCTGTCACCTTCTGTAGTGAGTTCTTCCAAAATATAATTTTTTCCAATAATTTTGTGTCAAGCTGTGTTTCGGTTTTTTGTTCTTTTTTTAAGAATCTGATGTGTAGTTTAAGGCTTTAAACAGATTATGGCCTGAGTTGGTGCTTTGCTTCCCTGTTAGCACCCAATAGGCAGTCTTCAATAGGCAGTCTTCAAAAATAGACTTTTATATTTTAAACTAATGTTTATTGTAGAACCTGAAGGTTGTCATGAGGGGCCTAGTGGGCATGGCTTCTGCCCTGAAAAACTAAGGCTAGCACTGAGAATCTCAAGCAGTAGAAAATGAGTTCTACTTCAAGATTCAGAGTACTTGCTGCATCCTGCAATGAGACTTGGTACTACCAAATTTTATTTAAAAAACAAAACAAAACAACCCAACAGAGAAAGTAACAAGATTATTTATATCAAGCCAATTCTTCAATAATACTCATGGACAGTAACTAGTTCAACAGGTAACTTAATGGAAGGTGAATGGTGGGAGATGTGCATAAGAGGTGCTACATTGAAGTGTGGGCAGCAGAAATAAAATCTCTGCCGTAGATACTAGAATCTTGTGCCAAGCTATTGGTTCAGAGCCTTTTTTGATGGAAGTCCTTCTCTTTTTGGTCTAGTAAAGCCCCGGTCTAACCTCTAGAATCCTGTGTCCATCTTCGGAGGTGTTGGTTTTTTCTTGTATGCTCTATAGCAGTGACCTAAAGATGCATGTTTAAAAACAAAAAAGCATACTTTAAAATTCAAGTGAAAAATGCGATCTCTTATACAGCCACTTAGAAGCCTCCAATGAGCAGTAATACTTAATTACGTAGATCTCCACTGAAAAGTCTTTAGTGTATAAGACTTGACTGTGGAATACTAGTGTTGGCATTTGCTGTACTAGAAAGACTGCTAGTGGCAAAAAGTGTGGTGGTAATTGATAAACCACACTTCCAATTTTACTAGAAGTCATCCTGCCATAAATCCTTGAATAATCATTAGATTGAACAGTTGGCTAGACTTAATTCTAGGCTGCAGTTTTACAAAAGTGAGGACCAAAGAAAGCATATGGCAGGCTTCTGGGGAGGGAGGGGGAAGTTACTGCACTAATTAGTAGTTCTAGAGCAGCCACACAGTAAAAAGCCAATTAGTAAACACTAATTAAAACTTAAAATGGAAGATTGTTCATACAGCTTTAGATGAATGTAGAAGTACTTACTATACAGTTTCCATATTTGGTAATTAATTAAAATACTTCAGCAAACCATTAATTCAACTTTTTTAATTAAATAGCCTCTTCTGGTAGGGAGACAGATGTATCTGGGCAGAGCTGTTAGTGCCCAGACACAATAGCTGGGGGGGGGGGGGGGGGATTTTTTTCCTTTTTGTTTTGATGCATGCAAATTGGAACCAGAATTGCTTGGCTCCTGCTGAGGGGGGAGGAGGCTTTGTGCCAGCCAGCTGGCTAGCATTTGCTCCCTTTTTCTTCAGAAAGCTCAGGACTATACTGTATCCCAGCAGCATGGTGCCATCTATTCCATAATTAAAGCATTAAGAAAAATCCACTGTTTTCTAGGACAACTATTTGTGACGAGGTGTCTCTGGAAAACCAGCTGCCCCCAGAATTACCCAACACTATCTGGCTATAGCAGTTTGTTCTGTCATACATGGCTGATGTCCATTCAAAAGCAAATGAGTACAGAATTTAACTAATCACAAATAATGGAGTCTACTTATTAGTTTAAGCACAAGCCATCTTTAAAAACGTGTCTCTTCCACGGGCCAGAGCTGCTGCTTTTAAAGGAGGAGAACTAGGACAGCCTTGTCTTGGCTAGCTGGCCTGTTGAACAACTATAATATCCTGCGACAGCAGCAGAACTCAAGATGATGAATTGTGGTTTGGATTATAGTGCATAAATGCCAAAAACATGAGCAGGGCAAAGTACAATATTTGTGCACACCTATTCTTTAGCTAGAAAAACAACTCTTTAAATGACCTAAGTCTGCCCTCATCCCTATTGAAGCTAAGCGTAGGGACTGCAGTCTAGTGACCTAACAGAATGGGTGTCACTGATTCAGATGCCAGGGGGTGACCTTTTGACACTCTGCTCTCCTGTTAACCACTAAAGTAATTGCATGCATTGCCATCTTCACAGAAGAAGCTCATGCCTGCAGTGAGTGCAAGGTGAATTATTAAAATAATCTAAAGCTGACAGTTGTTGCTGCTTGGCAGATCTCACAAGTGGCAATACATGTTTTACATAGATCACTGCTGTGTTGGGTATTTGTTTAGCTACAGCTGCCTTTGTATTTTGGAGTGGACAGTGCTTCTGTTTTCTTCCTAAGGAGATGTAGAGATGTGACTGCAGAATGCAAAAAGCATGAGCACTAGGAACATTTTAATAGGAATTTGAATTGTTTCAATTTCCTCAAAATATGGGAAGAACATGAGCAATGTTCTTTGGGCTTTCAGAGGCACTAGCCATGAAAATCTGATAGTACTCCACTGCTGTTCTACAAATCTATCCTTTGCTGCAATGCCTAGAAAATGTTCAAAAATAGTTAAATTGGTAAATAGTGGGTAGAGAATGTTAATAGGAAGGTTAAGATAAGCATGATGTAGCTACCTCTGCTGTACACTAGGAACTTAGGCCAGCATAGCTATGTCTTAAGGTGTGAAAGATCTGTACCACTTCTCCCTGGTAGAAGACAGCTCTAGGTGACACAACTTCTCTTAACTTAGGGACCTAAGTACCTCCTCTCCCCATGAGGTGGTAACTATGTTGCTAGGCAACCAAGGCATAAGGAGCATCTGCCCTTGGGTGCTACAGTGGCATAGCTATAGAACTGCCACTGTGTCTTTATAAAAACTTAAACAATGAATAGTCTTGCAGGTCCTTAGACTAACAAAACATGTAGATGGTGGTATGAGCTTTCATGGGCACAACCCATTTAAGATGAATGGAGTTATTAAAGGTCCAGTTCCTAAATAAATGGGGGGGGGAGGGAGAGAATGAAAGGAAAAAGGGGGGAGGAATAGTCAATTAGGCTACATCTACACTGGCGTGTTCTCGTGCAAAAACTCTTTTGCAGAAGAGAGTGTCTACTGTAGTCCCCTTACTAAAGGGGCCTCTGTTTTATTCTGTAAAGACCCTGTGTGCTACAATCCAGACTACAATTCCCATGAGCCCTTGGGAAAAACAGGAAGGAAGGACTCTGGTATGGGAGAGGACTGCTCTCTCCATGTGCTTGAAGAAAGAGGCCTAGCAGTCTGGGACTCTGCCTTGGAGTTTGGAACCAGAGGGGGAGCCAGGCTGCTGCCAAGGACATTGACCCAGTGGAGGGGCTGTTGGATGCAGCTACTAGATGCCTATTGGAACTGGGAGTTAGCAGGCTGCTTCCTATAGGCACAGCATGAGGCAGTAAGTTTGGGCCTTGTTGGAAAAGTACTGCCTGGGACAGAGCTGCTGTTTAGCCTGGACCAAATCCTCACCACAGCTGCAACATCAGCGTGCCAATGCAAGCAAGTGTCTGGGACTGAGTCTAAGGGTGTGCACACTGGGGTGGGGTCACTGTTGTCTAGCTATATAAGCATCAATTATTAATGTGTTTTGTTAATGCTGTTCATTGCTAATCCGTTAATCCTTGTTTATTTAAGTTAAGTAAAGATTGTTTATTTTAAAGTGTTCTATTAGATGTCTATGATTTGTAGTTGTTCTGGAATTAGATCCAGATTTATGTTGGAATGAGGATATTCCTGGAGGCTCTCAAGGCACCAGTGTGTGTACAAGGCCAGCCAGGTGGAGGCATCGCCATTTTACATTCATTGCCAGCAAGGGACTGCAGCAAGGGGGTGGATAGGGCTTTCCCCAACTAAACACCATCACCACTAGGGTGCTCAGGATCTCTTTTGGGTTAAAACACCAGGTGCCCAGGCACACCTGTGAGTGTGACCTGCTCCCCAGTAACTCGGGGAGGAAAAGGGGGGTTACACTACACTGGCATGTGCTTTTGCACGAGAGCATCCATTTTAACCATAGGGCTTTCTTGCGCGAGAAAGTAATGTTGCCTGTCTACACTGGCCTCTTGCGCAAGAACAGTTGTGAAAAAATGCTTATTCCTGAGTGGAAACGTCAGAGTTCTGGCACAAGAAGCCCTGAGTTCATACATTAGAATGTCAGTTTACTTACGAAAGAACACACGGCCACTAGACCAGCAGCAAGTTTTTGCGCAAGGGCGGCCGCTTTTGCCAAGTTTGCGCCAGTGTAGACACAGCTTTAGTGTCCCTTCGACATGATGCTGCTAGAGAAGGTGCAAATTGTTTGGGTTTTTTTAATGTCATTAGGCTGTGGAATGTAGTGGGCCATCCAGCTAATGTCTTTATTCATAGCTTTGTGCTAGAAATCAGACCTGTAAATGAAGTTAAATTCTAAGGCTTCCCAAACTGGGGGGGTGTGAAGAAATTCCAGGGGGGGTGCAAGACAACCCAGCCCACCCAATCAATTCTTTGCCCTCTAAGTTGTGCTGCTATTTTTGTGTTTTGGCCCCTGTCAGTTCCTTTTTTCTTTTTTGCTCAAGTTTTGCTGCTATTGGGAGGTGGGGGAGGCGTGAGTTTCTCAGATCAGAAAGGGGGTGTGATGCTGAAAAGTTTGGGAACCACTGTTCTAAGGCTTCCCTGTGTAGTCTGCTACACAGTGGAATTGGCCTGAAACAGTAGGGTGACTTTGAGATCCATTAATGAGTGCCTGGGCAAGTTAAAATGTTTCCCAACATGTTTCTGTGTGTTGCCTTTTGGATATCTGATGTGTCCATTAATTCTTTCGTAGAGACTGTCCAGTTAGGCCCATATACAGAGGGGCTTTGATGGCATATAGATCACAAGTGGATGTGCAGTTAAAAGAGCCTTTGTAGTCAGTCATTTAAGCGTAGATCTACCCTTAGAATGCAAATTCCCTAGAGGAATTTGTATATGTGAAGTGCTTGGCATAAGTGGGCTGAAGCACAAGTATAGGTGCTGTTCCAATACAAGTAAGGCAGT